ATTGCGATGATTGGAGCCTGGGAAAAAAAAAGCCCCAAAATTTGAGACGTACCTGCCCCATACGTGAGAGCTACAAGTTGATAAAATATTTTTTGTACTATTCTCAACAAGACTTATATTTATCAATAAATTTTAAATTCCATTGTAAAATATTTTAGCGCTCAAAAACTATGACCATATAAAAATTGTAACCCCCTCGAATTGAGGGGGATTCAAACTTTACATGTTCATAATTTTTGAACGCTGAAATATTTTACAATGAAATTTAAAATTTATGGATAAATGTAAGTCTTGTTGAGAATAGTACAAAAAATATTTTATCAACTCGTTGCTCTCACGTTTGGGGCAGGTACGTCTCAAATTTTGGGGCTTTTTGTTCCCAGGCTCCAATCATTGCAATTTTTTGCAAACCATCCTTATTTGATATAAGTATAAACATATAAATGTTTGGAGTTTGCTCCATGTCTGGAAGTTAGCTATCTCAAACACCAAAACATGCTGGATCGCCCCTGTTTAGTATTGATTTGTATATTTATTTCAAAGACTACTTTGCTCATTTTAAATTTTTTTTTAAATAGTATGTTATTGTGCAAAGTGTTTGATTATTTATTTTAATTATCTAACAAATAGTTAGTTTTCTATATAAACCGGAAATATAAAAAGTCCTTGTATATGGAAAGCGAGCAATTTTTATTTTTTATAGATGGAGGGGTGGGGGGGGGGTGAATTGAATAGCATGTTTGGAGGTTAATGTTGAAGTTTTAATGCTAAGTTTTTGAGTATGAACGGTAGAAATATCAGGGGGAAATAAGCACAATTTCATTGAAAAATCAGAAAAAATCAGGGAATTTTGTTGCAGAATTTTAAAGGCAACTCTGCAAAACTGAACTAAATATTTAAATATTTGCGAACATTCTTAATATTTGTAATCAATTAGGAAAATCTAAAACAGTGTGATAAATCGGGTAAATATATCCTATGTTCTCATGGAATACCTCAAAATGTTGTTGATTTCATAATAAAATGTTGTCGATGATAAAATGTGAAAAATTTGAGCCTTGAAATGGCCTCAAATTTTATAAAACTTTATGACCGCCATGTATTTGGTTGGATGTTATGGTTAGAAACCATATTAGATTATAATTACTGTGTGTTTTCTTATTATAATGGATAAATAGTTGCTTTTTAAATTATTATTTTTTTTGTATAGCTACTTACCGGCTTCCTAATTTTGATATGGCAAAAACAGAAAGCTTGTTACGCTTTAAAAGCTTACAAAAAGCATTTCCAACAATAACTGTCAAAAAAGACTGGAAAATAGATAACTCTTCGCAGTTTATTAAATATTGCTGCTTCTGCGCACAAAATTGACACCCAAATATGTAAAAAAAAAACGAAAAACATATATATATATATATATATATATATATATATATATATATATATATATATATATATATATATATATATATATATATATATATATATTATATGCGATATAGATAAAATCGAATTCAGATTTCTACACCATAGTTGGAACTTCCAATAATTAGTGAGCGACCGGATATCCGGTTTTGCCTAATTAAAACTTCCAAATAAAATGTTTTGAGTGAGCAAAACCAGTAATCCGTTCCGGTTTGTTAAAATTTGAATCCGATATTAACAAGCCGGACCGGATATCTGGTTTCGCACACCCCTAAAATTTATCGCGTGACATGTCACAATAATTATTGTCACATTGATGACAATTAGAATATGTATTAAACAATCAAAAACATTTTACGGCATTGAAAAAAATTCGACATTGAAGTAATCATTTTTATTCTTTTTGTTTGTTTGTTTTAAGTTTTACTTTTATTTTTTCTTATTAATTATAAGTAACATAAAAATAAGTTACATTATTCCTACAAAGTTCCCAGAAAAAAAAGTTCTATAGAATTTTTATATACTTTTGAAACATATGGCCTATAGAAAATCTATAGAATTTTATAGAATTTCTATAAAATCACTGTTAATTTTTATAGAAATTGCTATGAAACTTTTTTTTTTATAGAAAAATAGGGTAGATAAAAAGTTTTATAAGAATTTCTATAGAAATTAACAGTGACTCTATAGAAATTCTATAAAATTCTATAGATTTTCTATAGGCCATATGTTTCAAAAGTATATAAAAATTCTATAGAACTTTTTTTCCTGGGTTGAATGTCCAGTTTATGGCGCTATCGACGTTAAATTTAGTTTGAAATCAAGTGCAAAATTAGTACTATATAGTCTTTATCAGTTTTTTAATAATGTAGAGTGTAAGCTCTAAACGTTTAGAACCAGACCAACGTAAATAATCTTCTGATGTTTAACGTGAATATAATAACCCAACAATAACGAAGAAAGCAGGCAGAATAATGGTCATAAAACTATTAGCAGTATTTAGTCATGAATTAACGTTCAAACCTGGTTTAATCTATGTCAAACGTGCAACGCCTAAACGTTGGTCTGGTTTTAACGTTAATAAATGATTAAAAAAAGGATCATAACAATGAGGTTAACATTTTATCTTATAGTTATGATCCTATAACCTTTCAATAACCTTTGGTTATTGTTATGATCATTTATTAACCATTTACTAACTAACTTGATTATGACGTTCAAAATATTTTGAAACAATGTTCAAAGTTTAACGTGAGTATAATGACCTAATAATAACGTAAAAAAAAGGCAGAACATTGGTGACAAAATTAACGACGATATTTGGTCATTTATCGAAGTTCATATTAAGTTCAAATTAGGTTAATTAACCAATGTCTTTTTTTTTAATTTCAGTAAAAAAAAGACGTTGAAAAGATTGCCTTGAGTTTAAAGTCAAAACAATGAAAAATGTTTATTGAGTTAATGGTGACAAGGCAACTTTATTTATTGCAGTTAAAATAACTTTATTTAATACTGATAAAATATCTTTAGTTATTACTGACAATGATACTGATAAAATATCTTTAGTTATTGATACTGATAAAATTATTTAGTTAATGATACTGATAAAATATCTTTAGTTATTACTGAAAATGATTTAAAAAAAACAGTATACCAATTTTTAAAGTTCAAATCATAATAACTTATACTTTTCTATTTTTGAGCACATTCAATTCTACATCTAACCTAGATAACAAAAGCCAAAATAAACGACGTCTAATTGAGAGTACACTTCTTTTAGACATCTAAAACACATCTTGTGCTTTTATCATGTGTTTCACCGAAGGATGTAAAACAAAACAAAATTGAATTCTGATATCATTATATGACATTACTTTTAACTAATATTAAATAAAATTTTTTTATTTTTTCAAGATTCCTTAAAAGCTATGCTGTAAATCATGGTCAAAAGACTTATCCCAGCTAGCACATTACTTTGGCACAACATTAAAACAACGTTGGACGTAATGTGACAACGTTTTTCCAACAATGGACCAAAAGTTGTGTTCTTGTTGGGATATTACCCTGATTAATAAAGTGATGTGGGTCTATGTCACATTTTTTTTTTTTTTTTTTAATAAAATATCAACTCATAAAGAACTATGACAGAAGTCAGTAAGCATTCTATTTAAACTAACCAATCAAAAGTTTAAAAAAAAACTGTTTTTTAAATAGATGCTTTTGACGTATAACATCTTCATATGTCAAAAACATGTGTGTTTGTATATGTATATGTATATATATATATATATATATATATATATATATATATATATATATATATATATATATATATATATATATATATATATATATATATATATATATATATATATATATATATATATGTTTGCATATGTATATGTATTTATTTATATTGTTAGTTTATTTACATTAGTTTTTCGTTGCAAAGTTATGTAAGGATGATTAAAAAATAATAACAGTAATCTTTCACAAGTTTACAATAATAAACAATATAAAGAAGGTAGTTAAAAGAAAATCACGAAGATCAGAAAGATCTTGTCACGAGAATCTTATATAATAAGCCGTTTTTTCAATGCACTCGTAAACTTCTAATATTGTCGAAATAAAATAACGAACCTAAAAAACTTCTTACAATGATGAAAGAAAAAAAAACTTATTATATATATAAACTAATATTATAAACAAGGTTAACTGATTTAATATTAACAGTAAAAAAAAAATAATTTTTAGTAATGATTGAAAGTTAACAATTTCAAGATATTACTATAAGTAATATCTAATTATTACTATAAGTATAAATGAGTATGTTTGTCCATGGAAAAAATAAAACTTTTAACTTTTAGACAAACTATGTCTTTAAACTACTTGGACCTCGCTTTAAATCTTTTAAGGAAGGGCAAATAACAGCAAGAAATTTGACTTTTTTTATTTTTATTGAAGGTTTTTTTATTGAAATTTAAAATAATAAGTATACTTCAAAGGGGTTTTCACTACACGTACGAATCAGGGAAGAGAGATTAAAGGGGGAGGGGCTGACGTATCTGCTTTTTGCCGACAAAAACAAACCTATAACTAAGAAACCTATTGAAGACTAAAAAAGTCAAAATAGTGCGTCATCCTAATGCAATTCTGCGCTTTAAGATGACGCACTATTACGATAAGGGCGCACAAAATTGTCGTAACTGTGAAGACCTCTATTATACGATTATTACGCATTGATATGTATGCATTGTTACGTTGATTTTTATGCATTGTTACGTTGATTTTTATGCATTGTTACGTTGAAATTTATCATAAAGATTATTTTTTTTTATATGCATAATATAAATTTTAACACCTAATTTCCCAGTAATGCCATATGACGTTCTTGATATCAAATAGTAGACTTTAACAGCGTTTAAACTATGTGAGTATGAACAATATGCTTTTGTGTAAATTTAGTGATTAACAAAACATTTACGCAAATACATAGTGATCTCCACATGGTTAGGAAATTGCTTTCTTATCTGTTTTTGCGACGCCATTTGGTATCACTGGAAAATAAAAGACTAATTTACTCCAACGCATCATATTGTTGCTGCTTATCATAAATACAACTCAAATAGGCAAACTGAAAATTACTTTTTAAGCTTTGATTTGAGGTAGCTAGCCATGAAAAAAACTGCATCTGTTGTCCTGCTTACTTTAGTAATAATCTATTGCTTTACCATAAATAACGTATGTTATATAAGTTCGATTAAACCTTTTATATACTCACAAAACGATCTTCAACAAAATAATGAAAATCTCCTTATTAGGTTGGAAACTTCAAAACTTACCAAAAAGTCTTCTGATTTAACAAAAACATGCTGGAAAAATACTTTTGCTCTTAATAAAAAAAATGTTACTGTTTCTTCACCACAAAATGTACTCTGTTTATTTAAACCTTTGAAGATGGAAACTAAAAAAGAATTTAGAAAACCAATTGTTGTTTTAGGCGTCGGTGTTCATTTAGGACCAGCAGCCGACAATAAGGAAGTTTTACCCAAAGCAGGCTTCAAGTATATTAGTTGGGAATTCAGAGATAAACAATATAATAGACTACAGAATAACCTCATTCATGGTTATTCTAAAGAACATTTAAAGTTAACGCAAGAATTGTTTTGGAATGCCTACAAAAATGATTCTGAATTAAATGAAGCTGATATTATTGTTTGTGGATTTGATGTATGGCATTGTTTAATATTTGCTCCATTTAATAAAAAAATTGTAATAAACAGTAATTACAGATTTGATGGACACTTAGGAACGTCATATGAAGATATGATTGAGTTACAAAAAGAATTGTATAATGCTGTACGATATAATCCTGATGTCATTATGGCTGGTGGCATTCTTTATGATGTAATGTACCAACAGCATTATCTTGGTTCACATAAAATAATACCATTACCTGCATCATGTGAATATGTTCAGAGTCGAATTAAAAAAGACCTTCAAGAGAAAAAAAATTGCATTAATGAATGTAAAAAAGCTGTCAACAAAACATTGGTTGTAATATTTCCAAAACGTTTGTCAAAAGGTGGGGAAAAAATTGCAAATGAAATCATACAAGAAGCAAGAAAAAAAGAAAGATCTTTTGAAATAAAACATTTTGAAGAGTGTTTTTCGAAAGGATATAATTACTGTCAACTGGGTATGTATAAATTTGTGTCTTTGCATTTACTTAAAGCAATTAAAAAATATTTTCATTAACTTTTCAAACAACGTAAATTTGTCTTATGCTTACCCACCTCTGAATATGGACTTGGATAGGCATTTGTAAATGTAGTAAGTAACATTTGTTTTGAAAAAAATGCCCTAAATCTTCGTTCTGCAACTGTTTGCATTTGGAAGCTGCTTGAAACAATTTTTTTTTTTGAACAATTAAAATTTTTTTATACATGAAATTATTTATGAATTAATAAAAGTTATGAAAAGATTACAGACAAAAGCACACATGTTTCTAGTTTAAATAAATTAGAAATTTACTTTGATAATGATTACAAGTTTTATCTTTACAGATCAATTTGATGTCGCAATCATGTTAGGATATTCTGTAATGTCATATTTCAGTTGTGAAGTAGCTAATATAGGTAATTTAAAAAATATATATATGTGTGTGTGTTTGTATATATATATATATATATATATATATATATATATATATATATATATATATATATATATATATATATATATATATATATATATATATATATATATATATATAAAAGAATATAAAAATAAGAAAAAAATTATAGTATTTTTTTTTCTGGAAAAGATTATCATCTTTTCTTATTATTATATAAATCACCTAAAAAAATTAGAGTTGTTTAACAAAAATGATATTTGCAACTAAAAGAAATTACCGCTAAAAAAAGTTAAGTTTTTAATAAGAAATCAGTATTTAAACCATTAGCTAAGAAAAAAAAGTTTTATTTTTCATTTGTTTTTTCAAAAATTTATCTAAGACAAAAACAGTAAATAGAGTGTGTAATTATGTTATTAATCTTTTTATCTTTATCTGCTGTTGAACATTTTTTTTTTTTTTTAATTATATTCCTTATTTTTTTATTTGTACTGTTATAATTGTTATTGATTATGCTTTTTTTTGCTGCTATTGTTATTCGAATGTTACTAACATTCTATTAACAATGTTAGTATGGTTTTAATTTAATATTAGTATTAATTAGTGGTGTCGCTAGAAGGACACCCTTTCTAGCTACACACTTAACCCCTTCTATAGTGAAAGGGTTGCGGTCCGCACTGGGTGACACCATCGGAGGGATGACACCAAAATGAATAAATAGCAAGTATGCCATAATTTGCTAAATATAGAGGACTTTTTTTAACTTATTAGTTGAAAAGGTATGACACCAAAATTTACCGCTCCGGGTGACATCAGCATCAGCAACGTCGTTGCTATAACCCCTTTAAGTAACTTTAAACTTTTAAGCAACTTCAACAATTAAGCTACATTTAATGTCATTTAAAAGTTAAACAATTAAAATAATGCGGAATTACATTAAGTTTTATCGTTTCTTAAAAAACCGCAATAGTAATGACTAGAAAGTTTTTTTAATTAATTGTGTTTTTTTTTTGTTTGTTTTTTTAACATATTTTTAAAACTTGAGCGGAGTGTTACAGCATCAAACATCTTATAGCCTGCTGCTACAAATAAGTGCCAGTACATCGACTGAGGGTTTACTTTGGGCAAACTATGTTTTTAAACATCCCTGGCCAGGTTTATTAGCGTTCTTTTTAAAACTGTAGTATTAGGAAGAGACTTTTTGACTACCATGCACGACTAAAGTTTTCTCTCGTAGAACATGAACTTAGATGAAAAATCAAAATAGCGCACTAAGTTAATTAAAAATTCAGCCTAAAGGAGCTTAAGATCTCCTACTTCTTTATTTTAAATAAATTTACCGTTGCGTAATTTATCGACGACCCCTTATTTGAAATAAGCACTAATAGGCAAATAATTAGCTTGCAACCAAAATCTCAAACGCTAAAAATTATTGGACCCGCACCTGTTATTGTATATATATAAAGTTTAAACAAAATACATTTTGAAATGCTATATTACGTATTATTTTAAAATCAGAGAAAATAGAAGGCTATATAACATAGGTATAATTGCAATAGCAATTCGGTACTCACCAACTTGCATGAAATTTATCTCTAAATCAAAAATTTTCACAACCATTTCTGAAATTAAAAAAACTCAATCCAGATTTAGCATATGAAACCATATGAAAAAGCGGTTTTCATTAAACTTAAATGCGCTAGTTTGATTTTTTATTTAAGTTAAGACTCTGCGAGGGAAAACTTTTAATCTTTTTTGTTTTGTTTATTGTTAAATTTTGCATTACGTACTTAATAGACAATCACTATGGCATATTTCACATGGGATACGGGAATTTTTTTCCGCATGTAACCCATGTGGAGATTATTAATTTGTCCCACGTTTTGTATCCCTTTTACCACATCTATAGATATGTGGTAAAATACCACATATCTATAGATCTTAAGTGACATATTTTAATCTAATTGGTATAAAAAATTTCGATACCATATGAATGAAAGTCCGAATGGTTTTGTGAGAATATAAATTGCTTAGAAGCTTTCAGAGAGACATATTTACCTGGTACATTTTTACAATTTGGTATTAAATATATGTGGCATTTTTGATTTTTCACATGCGATTTTATATTTTATTTATAACAAAATTCTCGAAAACAAAAAAAATGTTGAAAAATGAATTTATTTCTAAATAATTGCTATAAATAAATACATTCAAGATAAATATTCAAAATAATTTTTGCTCTTTTGCTTTTTACACCATCATTTGCATCTTAAGTTTATGAAATTAACCACCTTGATTCGTTCAATACCAGAATTTTACTGTTCTCAAACATTTTCTGAAAATGAAAAACATAATTATTAATGAATAAAGTTTTACATAATAACCTAAATTAACCTACATATGCATATTAAAAATAAATTTTCTTAAAATTTTACTTTTGCTTATAATAGATCAAAATAAGATCGAATCTTAAGAACCTTGAAGTTTCATGTTCTTAATAACTTTGAAGTTTCATGTTCTTAATAACCTTGAAGTTTCATGTTCTTAATAACTTTGAAGTTTCATGTTCTTAATAACCTTGAAGTTTCATGTTCTTAATAACTTTGAAGTTTCATGTTCTTAATAACCTTGAAGTTTCATGTTCTTAATAACCTTAACTTGAAGCTTCATGTTCTTAATAACCTTGAGGTTTCATGTTCTTAATAACCTTAACTTGAAGTTTCATGTTCTTAATAACCTTAACTTGAAGTTTCATGTTCTTAATAACCTTGAAGTTTCATGTTCTTAATAACCTTAACTTGAAGTTTCATGTTCTTAATAACCTTAACTTGAAGTTTCATGTTCATAATAACCTTAACTTGAACATGTTCAATACTTCATAACCAAAATCTAATTCAAAAAATCTCAGTAGATAAATATTAAATATAAATTAACAAATAAATTATACTTGTAATATTAAAGTGATGTTTTAAAAGTATAACCAACATTATACTGTTAACGTATAACAGTTAACAATTCTTTTCTTTACTTTATTTATTATCATTATATTAGTACTTAAAAATTGGATCTTTTTTAACAATATAAATGGCCATTAAATTCTTAGAAAATATTTACATATACACATGCATACAGGTATAGAAAAGTTGTTCATTCAACACTTGAGATTATTTTGAAGAGTTTATACCTAAAACATCCTGAAGTTACTCCAGTAACTTCTTTGATACTTAGTCTTATATTTTTTGATACTTTATTTTATTTTGGAAAAAACTAAATTTCTCATATAGTTCGTCTAGCTAACATTAGCAGATACCTGTTTGACAACAATGAAATTTTCATATTGATTTTTGAATTCATTGATGCATCTTGAATTAATAACTAGCTTAGGTAACTAGTTAGATAATAGTATAATCCTTTTGTAAAGAAATTAAATCTTGCTTGGTTTCTTGTGAATTGTCTTGACAGTCTTAATTCAGAGCAGCTAACATTACTAGCAGGTCCTTGAGCTAATAGGGAATGTGGTAGGGCATTTATATAAAAGCAATTAACTTTGTTAAACCCCTTGACTGCTTTAAAATATTGAATCAAATCCCCTCTTTTCCTTCTTTGTTCTAGAGTTTGTAGATTGAGGTAAGTTAGACGGACTTTGCAATCTAAATTTAGTATTGGTGTTTAGTTGCTCTTTTGTGAACGGCTTCTAGAACTTTTGTCTTTTTTTTTTATAAAAGGATTCCAAATAGATGCACAGTATTCCAAATGAGGTCAAACAAAGGTATTGAACTATCTAACAGAAACAGATCTCGAAGATTTGAATGTTTGCTTAAGCATGGCTAGGACTATATTTGCTTTATTCATTGCATGTCTGATGTGAAAACTCCATTTTAATTTATTGTTAAAAATTAAATTATGTCTATTATTATTGAAATAATTTCCAATTTTATTTTAACTATCCAAAAACACTTTTAATTTTTCAGAAGTCAAGATAAAATTATTTTAAAATATTATTATTTATAAAACAAATGTATTATATATATTATACATATTATTATTATATATTTATTATACATTGTATTATATTATTATTTATAATATATATATATATATATATATATATATATATATATATATATATATATATATATATATATATATATATATATATATACACATATATATATATATATATATATATATATATATATATATATATATATATATATATATATATATATATATATATATATATATATACATATTATTTTAACACTTAAGGGTTAACTGTAGGAAAAAAATATCTATTATAAATAAAATAACTTTATTCATTTATAACCAATTTTATTTTAACTTCTGAAAAGTTGTTGGATAGGCTCCATGGTCGGAAAAACTGAATATATATACTATATACATATACATATATATATATATATATATATATATATATATATATATATATATATATATATACATATATATATATATATATATATATATATATATATATATATATATATATATATATATTATTATATTTTTTAGTATATTGTAAAACAATAAAAAAAAATTAAAAAATACTTTACATATTAATTATGCAAATTTAATAAATACTTTTATCATTTATTATGTTTATAGCAATAACATAATATTTAGAAATCAAATTACCACTTTTACAGTCAAAAATGTCAAAATTAATATTAAAATTAATTAAAAAAAGAACTCTTTTTAGTTTTCAGTCTTCACATAAAAACCTGTAGAATAATTCACATAAAAACAGTCTTCACATAAAAACCTGTAGAATAATTCAGTCTTCACATAAAAACATGTAGAATAATTACCGTAGATAGTGCAAAATCGCGTAACAAGCATCGGGTAATAGCGCGCACTCTCGAGTTTTTACAAGGTGGGGGAGGAGGGGGAGGAGGGGAGGAGGGGGAGGGGTGGTAACAAAAGAGGGGGTTGGGAATTTTTATTCAGATCTTATAAACGGGGGAAAGAAAGGGGTTTAATGAAATTAGGGGGTAGGAAATTTTTATTTTACAATATAAGCGTTTTTTATAAAAAATTTCAGTTTATAATTCCGAACTAACACTTTTTACAAAACACGCATAAAGCTAATTATATCTTTGCTGAGAAATAAATTAAAAGCTCACTTTCTATAAATCGAGATTTACTTGGTCGGTGATTTTTTGAAAAAAAATTGTTTTTATCAGTGACTGAAATAATTGTTTTTTAGTTTTTAAGGCCGAATTTTCCTGATTTTTTTTTTTTTTTTTTTTTGATAACACGTAAAAATTATTAAAGGGGAGGGGATCTTAATAAGCTTGGAGTGGGTAAGAAAATTTTCTATAAATTTATAAATATCCTCTCCCCTCCCTTTTTATTAGGGACTCAAGAGTATATCTGTTACAGTTTTTTCTACTGGAGAAGTTTAAAACTTTATATATTTTTTTATTTCAACAGATTTTGAGTTCATTTTAGTACATTTTAGTAATTCATGTTTTTTGTAATGTCAACAATAAATATTTGTTGTTAAAATGAATAATAATCAAGTATAGTAGCTAATGCTAGTTACACGGATTAGCACTATCCCCAACGATATTTCACATTCATCAAAACCATATGAATAAATACCACATTTTTCCAACATTTATTGGATACTCAATATAGGCTTGTAACATATGAATCCCATTTAGTGCTCATATGTTCGGGATCGGGGTAGCCTCCAATCATTGCAATTTTTAGTAAAACATCATTATTTGATATAATTATAAACATACAAATGTTTGAAGTTTGCCTCATGTCCGGAAGTTAGCTATCTCAAATACAAAAAAATTCTGTATCCGTCACTGAACCCCATGCTTTATACATATGAAATTAACAATTTGAGATTGATGCTACATATTTCCGTACAATAACCGTATGGTAAAATTCATACTACATAAATTCCATGAATTCTACACGGAACCCATATGGAACCCATGTGAAACACACTTTTCTTTTTTCACTCGGTACCTCTAGGTGTCTAATGACAAAAAAAAAGCTTTAACTGCTCTTAGAAGAAGCTAATCACATACTTATTGCTTAAGTATATGGTTAGGTTCTTCCTAAAAACAAACTTCACCAAAGTATGAAAATTATATTTTTCCTCATCTGAAGCAGTATTTCCGTCAAGTTATTGACATACGATGTTTAGAAGTTAATTAATTATATAAAAAGCGCAATTTATTCAATATTATTTAATCACCCAATATGTATATATATATATATATATATATATATATATATATATATATATATATATATATATATATATATATATATATATATATATATATATATATATATATATATATATATATATATATATATATATATATATATATATATATATATATATATAACAAACCCAAACCTTCAAACCCAAAGAAAGTCAAAAAATGAGCAAATAGTAATCTTTACGAGCAGATTGATGATTATGATAAAGACTCTTTAGTTGCCATTGGTGGTGACCAAATTAATTTCAACACTTGTAGGAAAAAATATGTTTTACATTACTTTGAACACAAATTGTGTGATTAAATAATATTGAATAAATTGCGCTCTTTATATAATTAATTAGCTTCTTATGTTATATATATATATATATATATATATATATATATATATATATATATATATATATATATATATATATATATATATATATATATATATATATAACATAAGAAGCTAATTAATTATATAAAGATTTATTCAATATTATTTAATCACACAATTTGTGTTCAAAGTAATGTAAAACATCTTTTTTCCAACAAGTGTTGAAATTAATTTGGTCACCACCAATGGCAACTAAAGAGTCTTTATCATAATCATCAATCTGCTCGTAAAGATTACTATTTGCTCATTTTTTGACTTTCTTTGGGTTTGTTAGTAAAATAACGTTGACATTTATCATTAGTTTCTGTACAAAATAAATAACATAACAATATTCTTTGTTTTTTTGTTTTGTTTTTTAGAGGAATTTTTAATTGTTTTCTTTGATCATGTACTTAGTTAAATCATCTCAACCAAGAAGATATACTAAATAATCTACTTTAAAGATAAACCCTTTACCTTGGATTTCGTTAATTGTTTTGACTTTTCATTAAATAGTTATTACCAACTCTTATCTGTCTACTTACTACTAGGTTTTAAATATAGAAAGTTTTAATGACACCTAAATTTGTATAATTCTTTTTCAACCTATTTTTTTCTTTTGAAATACATACTGATCAAACAAACTTTTTATTTACAATCGTCCAAGTATACGAAGCAGAAATCAATGGAAAAAATAAAGAAATTTCAAAGTTAGGATTTATCTTATAGAAGAGTTTCTTTTAAAATGTTAAAGTATGTTTGAATGTAGAAAATCTTATTGTTAGATTTAAAACATTTACGTTTCTATTCATTCTACGTTAAAAATAAATAGTTTTACATAAATGGTTATCTAAACTTAATTGTTTTTTCAAACTTGATTCAGCGTATTTAGTGTGTGTGTCAGTGACGCATCCGGGGATGGGGATTTGGGGTGTGCACCCCCTCCCCCACACCAGATACTGAAAATCCTAAAATATCTTAGGAATGGAGGACCTATTTTTTTTTCTTTAGGAGATGTAAATGTGATACAAAATACAAAAATACTTCAATATTTTCCCCCTACCCTAAAAAACCTCCTGGATCCGTCACTGGTGTGTACCCATAATATACTAGCATAAGACAACACATGATATACATGAGATAAGCATAAGATGGACTCAAGAAAATAATATATTTATAAATTTTTTTTTATAAATAATGTTTTTAAAATGTTTAAATTAATTTAGGTATATATATCTTAAGTATTCCTAAAAACATAAATCCTTATTAACGATATTTTTAACTTTATTTTTTAATATTTGACTTTTTGAAACAAATTATTATATATTTATTAAACTGATATTTTTATTTTTTAATTTTTAAATATAAACTACTTTGATTTACAGTATTGAAAGCCTGAGAATTCAATTAATAAGCCTAGTACTTGTTTCCTTTTAAGGAATTAATTTTTAAGTTCAATAACTTCATGTTCATTTGAAAATTTTTTTTTTATTGAATTGGGTAAATAAACTTATTTACAGTCAAGAAAGTATAAATTTTATGAAAGAAACAAAAATAATTAGTTATTGATAAACTTTGTTGAAAACAGACAGTGAGTAAATAAAAAAATACTCAAGAAATTTAAAAAAGCCGTCGTGCAATGGCTAGAGTTCCAAGGTTTGACGCCGACCTATAAGCTACATTGGTAAGGAAGAAAGCGTGAACTTCCTAGATAAATGCTTTTCTGCGGTGCTCTGCGATAAAACCGTAAGAACTTCTGGGAATAACTTAAAAACCACGAAAAAAATGAAGTTAGTTCGACATAAGATTGCATTTTTGTAAATAAATATTCATAGTCACTTATTTATAAATACCTTAAACTATTTCATATATGTTTTAATATATATATATATATATATATATATATATATATATATATATATATATATATATATATATATATATATATATATATGTATATAAATATATATATATATATATATATATATATATATATATATATATATATATATATATATATATATATATATATATATATATATATATATATATTAAATATACCTTTATCTTTGTGATTAAAATTTAGTTTTAGTAATATAATTTAGGTATTCCATTGTTTGTACCAACACCGGAGCTATATGCCAACTACGAAAAACTGTATCATCTTGTGGAAGAACGAAAACAAAGGTTAGGTCATACTTCTTATGATGCCATGAAGCAGAGCAGCAGATCTTTAAATTTCGGGTAATTATATATTCAATTAAGTTATTTTTAGCCTCAGAAAATAAAAAATTAAAATCAAAATTTTAAGTTTTGTTGAAAATGTCATTTTATAGGATTTATTTAAAATAAAGGTACATGTTATATTTTAAAGATACAATCCTAATGATGACTTTGATGAGAAAGCGCTTCAACGTTGGCTCAGTTACTCCGACTATTACTATTACGGTGGTGTCGAACTCTTCAATAATTATGAAAATCTGTTCAACAAAATTTCTACTACAAACCTCATAAACTTAAAACAAAATGCTTATAAACATCGCATCGAGAACGCAAAAATTGGAGTTGAACATTGGCAAGCAATTGGCATGTACTTTTTTGGTGAAACTGATTTTCCTCATGAAGAAACTATCATACCAAATACATTGAAAGAAGGTTTAGAAATGTGGCAAAACGCTGTTAGTAGACCTAATTTTACATCAACTGGCGGAAAGTATTATGATGGCATTCCCGTTGTTGCTGTTTTGCTTGAAGATTTAAACGGAATTATACCAGAGTGTTCGAAGTTTAAATATGTTAAAATTGTATTACTGACAAATAGAACTGAAATAGTTAATGAATGCCATTTGCTGAACTATGAAACTCTTTTAAAGAATTTTGAATTAAATTTGTTTTTTAGTAGAAGTTTTACGAAATTAAAAAAATGGCATGAAATTGCAATGGTTATGTATGCAATTTCTCAACGAGCAAGTAAAATAACTATATTTTCTAAGTTAGGAAAATTTTCGAGAGATTGTTATATTTCAAATGAGTTTGAATTCCTCGGAGACGAGAAATTGTGGACACTTTCATTTTATGATTCATCACAATATTGGTACATTTTTGCACCAGAAGATAATCAAGTTTTTAAATATTGGATTAAAACTGTGTCGTCATTTACAAGTGAGCTAGACACTATATTGTTAATGAAATGCCGAACTTTTTTTCAAAATAGTGAAAAAAAATTTTCTGAAGAAGAAATTGATTACCTAAGTTCATATTTGCAATATTGGCAAAGCGATGAAACTGAAAGTTTTTTTCACATTGTCGATCAGTTAAACTTTGAACTTGCTGTTCGTGGCTATCTTTCAAAACTACATGCTAAACTCCATCGGTGGCTATTGTACAACCTAGTGCAATTAGGTTATTATCAACTGCCATTAATAAATAAGTTAATTGAAACATAGCTAATACTTTGATATATTTTGAAAATATTTTAAGACTTTTTTAGACGTTGTTATATTTTTTTTGGGTGTTTTTTGTACAGTATAAATAGTACCTTCATAGACTTAAAAGAAAATTGTTTTTTTTTTTTAATTTAGTCCTTGCATATTTAAATTATTTCTAAAATTGTTAAACCTATCTGAAACTATTAAAAATTAAAAGTTTATCCTTATCATAGGCCGCCGAGAGGGAGGAGCAAAAGGGACATATGCGCCCTAGGTGCCAAGTTAATAGGGGCGCCAGAAGAGAAAAGACAAAAAAAAAATCATATTCAGATTTTAATTACAAAAAAGTAAAAAAAAATCTTTTTATTGATAAGATGAAATATAAATTTTCTTGGTAATGTGCTTAATGGTAATGTGCTTTATTTATATTACTTTAATTTAATGGTAATGTGCTTTATTTATATTACCAAAAAATTATAGTTTAAAGTAATTTATTGGTACCAAAAAAAAAACTTGAATAGTTTTTATATTGACGACATTGAAGTAGACACTAGAAGCCAGGTGAATAAAAATCAGCAATTGTTTTACTCAGTGTATTTGGAGTAATTGTTTAACTTTACATGAATAAAATTTTTATTCACATAAAGCAATTTACTCCAAAAACAAAACATTTTGATTCTATAGATAAACTTTGTCAGGCTATTTAAAAAAAAAAAAAAAAAAAAAAATATATATATATATATATATATATATATATATATATATATATATATATATATATATATATATATATATATATATATATGTGTGTGTGTGTGTGTGTGTGTGTGTGTGTGTGTGTATCTTATAAATACTTTTATGATTATTCTGAAAGTAAATATAATCCCGATTATAAATAGCAAAGTAAAAGTAAACGTTACTTTTTAAGTTTTAACGACTAGTAAAGTAGTATTAAACTCTTAACGCAAGTTAGACGACACGTCTACCCTAAAAAAAGGAAAAAAAGTCAATACAACTACAAACTTGTGTCTCTAACTTATACACTGCAAGGTGACGAAGAGAATTATTATAGATAGGAATATAAAAAGCTGTGCACAATCCAATATTAAAGTCTCAGCAAGGTTTGTACTTAACAAAAGCTGCCTTACAAATCTGATTGAATCAGTTTACCATGGACACCTAGTTTATAATATTTTTACTAACTTTACCAAAACATTTAACACATTGTCACCCAACGACTTCTTCATAAGATTTATGCTTATGGTATTTGAGGCCAGCTAATTAACTAGATCACCGGTTGGCTAGCTATTAAACATTCAAGTAGATTAGGATGATAAGTAGCGTCCTTCATGGATTAGTTTTTAAAACACTGCTATTTTTGTTCTTTTCCAATGACTAACCAGATTGCATTTCAAATTATATGCCGATGATAGCAAGATTATATGAGCTATTGATGTCAATCAGTTCTCCTCTTATTATGAAAAACTGAAAGCGGACATCTACAACGCAATAAATTGGTCGCACAACTGTTTTGTGAATTTTAACTTTGAAAAGTGCAAAGTAATGCAAGGTAGTCGTCGGAAGTAGTGCAAAGTAACGCAAGTTGGTTGTCGGAAAACCTAATTAGTAATACCATGGCTGACATTTATGGTCGGGTTGACAATAAAATGCTTGGATGTCTCAAGAAGACATCCTAATGTCGGAGTTTTTCAGCCATGGAAAAAACTGTACTAACTGTACATTTAACCACATTTAAATTTTAGCGCGCAAGCCTGGTCATCCCTTCTTAAACCAGAAATTGGTATTGTTTAACAACGCGGAATATTGTCCAATTTATCCTACATTTACATACTTTCTTGTTTTACACTTTCTCATCAAACTCAGCATATAGAATAAAATATAAATATGTTGTACACTCAATTTCTTGAGTGTTGAGTCCAAACTACGCAGAGTTCGAGACTGTAACAGCTGTAACAAAACAAAATAGCTTTAAAAAATAATCGCTAATATTTAAAATGTTTGTCTATTCTGTTTTTAAATTGATTGATGGTACTTGCATCTATTGCATTTTCATCAAGATTGTTCCAATCATTCACCACTCTATTTGTAAAGAAGTTAAATCTTTTCATGTTGCTTGTTAATTGCCTTCTTAATTTCAAATTGTGACCCTTTGTTTTTCTTTCATTATCAATAATTTCTGGTGGACGGTGAAAATTAATTATGTCATATCCTTTTAAATTTTTGAACATTTTAATTAAATCCCCTCTTTTTCTTCTAATTTCGAGCGATAATGGATCTAGTTTTTTAAGTCTCTCTTCATAGCTATACCCTCGTAAACTTTCGATTCTAGTTGCTCTTTGTTGGACTTTCTCTAATTTATCCGTATGATACTGCCAGTACGGGTTCCAAATTGTGGCTGCATATTCTAAGTGAGGTCTAACTAATGAGACAAATAACATCTTCATCATAATCTCATTCATATAACGAAAAACATGTTTAATTTGACCGAGTTTTTGATTCGCTTTGTTCACTGCACAGTTTACATGGTTATTCCATTCCATATCGTCTGAAATTAGAATTCCTAAATCGTTTTCCAAACTTGTAACCACTAATTTTTCTCCCTCGATCATAAATTCGAATTGTTGTTGACTATTACCAAATATCATTATTTTGCATTTTTGTTTATTGAATTTTAGTGACCACTCGTTTGACCATTCTACTAATGAATTAATATCTTGTTGTAGTTCAATTGAATCATTCACATCTTTGATAGCTCGTACAGTATCGGACAAAACAAGTGCAACCAAATAATGCTAATTTAGTTTCTTTATATAAAAGTGCTGCATTTTTTTAATTTAGAGAATTAAGAATGTAATTGTTTAGAGACAACGTTCTTCAAGTTTTATTCATCACAAAGTTCATTATTTGTACACGAAAATTAATAAACTAATAAAAAGTATTAAAAAAAGTTGATTTCCTTCTGGACAAAAAAAAGTGACAAGACAAAACTCCACAAAATGTTGACCAAGCTGTATTTCGCTATCAATATTTCGTGGCGAATCCTTTGTTGTTGATCACAGCCCTGCATCTTCGAGACATAGATTCAATCAGGTGATCAATGAAACTTTGTAGAATCACTGCCCAGGCCTATTAGATTTGTTCAAATAGTTTATCTTCATTACGAACACCTTCACGAATAATTTTGCGGTTGACTCCCACAGGTTATTGATAGGGTTGAGATACGGAGATTGAGGCGGCCAATCCATTACCAATCGGTGGTTGTCTTGAAACCACTGTTTGACTACTTTTGCAGTGTGTTTCGGATCGTTGTCTTGCTGCAAAACCCATTTTATTAGCATATTCTATTTAGCATGAGGTAACATAACATCTTTCAGGATATTTTTATACATAAAACGGTCCTTTATTCCATCGATTCGATGTATTTAGCTTAGACCGATAGCAGAAAAACACCCCCAGATCATTACACCATTACATTGCTTCCACCATGCTTCACGGTCTTATGGCAGTAACGTAAATTGAGGCGTTTTCCGGCCGGTCGAGGTACACGGCAAATGCCATCGCTCCCAATGATGTTGAACTTCGATTCATCACTGAACAGGACAGTTCGCCATTTCTGCACATTCCAGTCAATATGAGATGTAGCAAGCAGGAGTCTTTTTTTTGTGGTTCTTTAGTGAAATCAGCGGTTTCTTTGCAGGGCGTTGAGAAAACAATCCGGCTTCAACAGCATGTCGTCTGAATGTTCGGTCCAACACAGGCAGCTCTAATTGCTTTTGTATCTCGACTGATAATATCCAGGGATCCTTCTTGACGAATCTGACGATCATAAAATCCTCTCTAGAAGTGGTGGAACGCAGTCTTCTACCTTTGCTATCTGCTGCCAATTTTTTCACGCGATATTTATTACAAGTACTTTTTTGTGACATTCCACTTACGTAATCGCCAATAATTTTCTTTCTTAGTTCTAATCCAAGACTGTCGGGAGTTATTTTTGCACTTGAAGTCATAAAAATATTTTTTTTTATTATTATTTTTTTTTTATTTAGGTGCCCTAAGAAGTTCTTACAGTCTTATCACAGAGCACCGCAGATGAGCATTTAATTGAAAGTTCACGCCTCCTTCCTAACCGATGTCACAAAACTTGCCCAGAGGTGGGTTAAAAATAATAAAAATAAATAATTGCGTTTCTCAAGGCTTACCGTGTTACATTTACCTTGTGATGGTACAATAATGCTTTGTGGAACACAACGTCTGGATACTTCCTTTAATTATTAAAAAACTTCTGTGACGTTGACACGGACCAGACTTAAGAAAATAAAACAAACCAAAAAAGTTGCACTTGTTTTGTCCGCTTCAAAATGGCACTTGTCAACGAAATTCTGCCTGTGTGCTGTCACCTGTCAACTAATTGCTCATGTCATGGCATGCTATGACTCAAGACTTCTGAACTGTTTGTTGTGGTAGTAAAGTTCGTTTCGTTTTTAAGACATGTAAAATTAGGAACACTTTTTAGCATTGTTCGATGTTGGTTGCAAATGTTTTGTCCGATACTGTAAGAGTTTCGTGTCATCAGCAAACATTTTACAAAGTGATTTGATTTTTTTTGTTATATCGTTAATAAATACAACAAATAAGAGAGGACCTAAAACTGAACCTTGTGGTACGCCGCTTACAACTTCCTCCCAATCTGATTAAAAACTACCTAATACCACTCTCTGCGATCTGTTGTTTAAGAAGCCTCTTCACCAGTTTAATACTTTTGATTCAAATCCAAGCCTTTTTTAATTTAGTTAATAGCTTCTCATGGTCTACCGAGTCGAATGCTTCAGCGAAGTCCAGAAATAGGATCACCAATGGCCAACCTTCATTAATTGAGCTTGTTATATAATCGAATGTTTCCAACAATTTTGAAACACAATTTTTTTTGTTTATAAATCCATGTTGGTTCACGTTAAATAAATTGTTATTTGTTAGATGTTTCATCATCTTATCGCTAACGATCCTCTCCATTGTTTTACACACAATAGATGTCAATAAGACATATAGTTAGTTGGATCAAGTTTGTTTCCTTTTTTAAACAATGGAATAATATTGGCGCATGACCAAATTT